AAAAAAAAAAAACATTTACAGCACATAGAGATGGCATTCAGGGGACAAGATAACAATGAGGGGTTCTGTGGTCTCATCCTCTGGTTCAGTGGGTTGTGCCCTGAGAGATCTGGAAAAAAGAATTATTCTGACATTCCAAGAGTATATTATCTTAGATGCAAAAAAACCCAAACAATAAACAGGTTCATTAAAGCAAAGATTAACTTTTGTCAAGAAAGCTATAGGCCTAGGATGTGACTATCCCTCATGACCTGCTTTTAGTTAGGAATTTTTAATCATCTGTGTGGTTACTTTAGGTCTCTGAGTTTGTAGGGCCTGCCATGCTGGTCTCCCATGAGCTTATCAGGTTTAGTATGTGGCCCCTTTTTCATCCACAGGAAGCAATGACTATTTCCATCCATGGAGTCAGGAACAAATTCACAAAGGAAGACTTACATGATCTGATCTGACCTAAAAGGATAAAAAAAAAGTCTATCTGGTTGCTCAAGTGACAATCTTTGTGCCTCTGTACCTATAAAGGAAACATTTCCTGTGTTTCTCCTTTATATTAATATACTCACTAATCACAGAATACTTCTGTGACCAGATATAGGGGAGAGGCAGGGTTCCCACACCAAGAAATTCTCAGATTCTGTGAATACTGGCTGAGTATCCTACAATTTAACTCAATTCTGACACTCCCTGGAGATAGCATCAGATCCCAAAGGTAAAGAGTTCAGTCTTACAAGACTATCCCCACCCTTCAGATGCCAATCACAAGTCCAAATTATCACCTGTGCTTCTGACTAAACTTCTATAGATTGGAGGTTTCCATGATCCCCTCCTCAGGTTTGATTAATTTGCTAGAGTGGCTCACAGAACTCAGGGAAACATTTTACTTACTAGATCACCAGTTTTTTGTAACTCAGGAACAGCCAGATGGGAAAGAGGCATAGGACAAGGTATGTGAGAAGGGGCATAGCGTGCCTATGCCCTCTCCAAGTACACCAACCCCCCAGCCTCCATGTGTTCAACAAACCAGAAGCTCTCCCAACCCCAGACTTGAGATTTTTCTAGAGGCTCCACAATTGATTAAATCATTGGCCATTGTGATTGATTCAACTTCAACCCATCTCCCCTAACTGGAGGTGTTGGTGGAGGAGAATGAAAGTTACAACACTCTAATCACAAGATGGGTGCCCTCTGCAGCCAGTCACCATCCCATGGTTATTGAGTGGTTTTCCAAACATCTCCCCATTAACACAAACTCAGAATTGATTGAAGTAACTTTTTTAATGAACAACAAAAGATATCAATTTCACTTTAAACATTCTGAAGTTACTTCAGCAACTGAGGGCCAAACCCAAATTATACCAAAAGATGCCCCTGTTATTCTGATCACTTAAGAAATGACAAGGATTCGGGGAGCTGTGAACTCAGAGAGCCATGGCAGAGACCAAAATGCTTATTTCTTATTATAAATCACAGTGTTCCCCTCTCCTAGGGTGGGGATCATGCATTGATGTGACCCAGCAGTGAAGGGCCTGGGGGGAAGGGGAAGGTGATAGGGATGGGAGTTCCTCCTGAGGGAGTGAGCAGGCTCTCTGTTCCCATCTCACTGCTTTGTTGTCTTGACTGGAGTAATAGTGGCCCATTCCATCTGGCTTCCTCAATTTGTGTATTTAAAAAGTTTCTCTCAAAAGAACAATAAAACAAACAACCAGATTCAAAAATGAGCAAAGAATTTAAATAGACATTTCTCCAAAGGAGATACACAAATGACAAATAAGTACATGAAAAGATGCTTAGCATCACTAAACATTAGGGAAATGAAAATCAAAATAACATGAGAAATTACTTCAGACCTATTAGGATTGCTATTATAAAAAATTTTTAAACCCAAAATTACAAGTGTTGGTGAGATTGGAACCCTTGTGCTTTGATAGTGAGAATGAAAAATTATGTAGCTGTTATGGAAAAGGGCATGGCAATTTCTCAAAAAACTTAAACATAGAATTATCAACCAATCTAGCAATTTCAGTTCTGAGTGCATACCCAGAAGAATTGCAAGCTGGGTCTCAAAGAGATATTTGTACACTCATGTACATAGCAGCACTAATCACAAAAGCCAAAAGTTGGAAGCAAACCAAGGGTCCGTGTGTGGATGAATGGATAAACTAAATGTGATATATCCCTGCAATAGGATATTATGCAACCTCACAAAAGAATGAAATTCTGACTCATGGTAAATTTTATGTTTTGTGCATTTTTCCACAATTTTTAAAGCCCCCCTCTATTTCTTGTCTGTAAAGACTCCTCCCATCTCAAGACAGTATGGCCCTGACCACAGAGTTGAGGAGTCCGCCGCAACTGAGAGAGGTGGCAGGAATCCCCCTGCAGGCTACAACTGTGGACAACTGGAGCCAGATCCAGAACTTTGAGGCCAAGCCAAATGATCTCCTCATCTGTACCTACCCTAAATCAGGTGACTATGGGACCCGGGGAGAGCAAGACCTTGGCCTGCTGAGTCAGCATGGGCTTCTCACATCAGGTAAAATTTCCCCTGATAGGATGTGTGCACTTATTCAAGGAAAACTGCTCCTTCTTATTGTTCCACTATGGTGCTCGTGCTCAGGATGCCTAGTATCCTTGGGTTTACCTGGGTTCAAGCATAATGGCTCTAGAGGACCCAGACTGCTCTGCTCTGCCTCAGCTGCTGTTGGTTGACAGCATCATATGGCTTTGCCTCTGCTGCTCCTCTCTCCATAGAGATCCAATGGGTTTCTCCCACACCAATGTCTACCTGTCCTGGCCAGCAGGATCTAGACCTGAAAGGAGGTTGAACCAAACACCATCAGTCTCCATGTCCCTTTTATTTACCCAGGACACTTAGGACATATTGTCTAACTGGTTTCTGTTTCTCCTTCTTTCTGTATGGGCCTCAGGGACAACATGGATTCAGGAAATTGTTGACATGATTGAACAGAATGGGGATGTGGAGAAATGTCAGCGAGCCATCATTCAACACCGCCATCCTTTCATTGAGTGGGCTCGGCCACCCCAACCCTCTGGTAAGAGCTGCTCCCTCATGGCCCTGTTTTCTTTCTTTCTTCTTTCTTTCTTTCTTCTTTCTTTCTTTCTTTCTTTCTTTCTTTCTTTCTTTCTTTCTTTCTTTCTTTCTTCTCAAGTCAGACAGAAAAAGACAAATACCATGTAATTTCACTTATATGTGGAATCTACAAAATAAAATAAATGAACAAACAAAACAGAAACAGAGTCATAGATACAGAGAAGATTTTGATGGTTACCAGATGAAAGGGGGTTGGGGGGGCTGGGTGAAAAGGGATTAAGAAGTACAAATTGGTAGTTACAAAATAGTCATGGGGATGTAAAGTACAGCATAAGGAACATAGTCAATAACATTATAATAACTATGTATGGTGTCAGATGGGCTCTAGACCTATCAGGAGGCTCACTTTGTAAGTTATATAAATGTCTAATCACTATGTTGTACACCTGAAACCAATATAATATTGTATGTCAAGTATAATAGAAAAACAAATTTTTAAAAAGACTTC